GAAGATAGAACGAGGATAAAAAGTGGAAGTGGATAAGAAGAGTAGAGGATAAGAAGGTAAAGAAGAGCATAAAATAAAGAAAACGATAAAGAAGAGGAAAGAGGAGGATAAGACATGGTCGTCCCAGATCAAAAGAGAATCAGAAGAGGATAAGAGGAGGACAGGAAGAGGATAAGAAGAAGAGGGAGGATAAGAAAAAGATATACAAGGATAAGACACCAGACGCGCGAGTTACAAGAATGATCGCTCTGTGTGTGCTACCGATGTTTGGTGCTAGCAAATGCTCTGCCTGCGATGCGTGCCGTACAGAGACGGAAGACTCTCATACGTGGTGGTAGGTAGCAATGAGCGAGACTTGATGCTGGGAGGGGAGATGGAACCGCTAGAGAGAGATGGCACAAAGCACAGACGTTCACCAATCCTGCGCTGCCTGGATTGCCCCGGAGGCGCTGATGGCGGACGAGGAGGAGGAGGAGGAGGACGGGGAGGAAAATGGGAAGGGAAAGCAGCGAGAGATGGGGGGGGGGGGGGGGGGGGGGGGGGGGGAGGAGGAGGGATAATTGCAGAAAGAACCTGAAAGATGGAGCCAGAGGAGGTGGAAGAGGGAGAAGAAGGGGGAGAAGCAGATAAGGTAATTGCAGAACCAATCGGAAAAATGAATTTTGACGACTTGTAATGGGAGAAAAGTTATGCGGATTACAGACCCAGCCACATCATCATCTGGGATGTGATACTCCTTCCTCCTCATCGAAGAGACTGGGAGGACATAGCTAAACACACGCATCTTTCCGTCGCTTGATGAGAATGAATGGGAATAGATGGGAGTGGATGGGAGTGGATGGGAGTGGATGGGAATGCAAGGGAGTGGATGGGAATCGAAGAGACTGGCACTCACTCCGCTCGCCAGAGCAGACGCTTCGCGTTATAGAGTCTGCTCTGGGATGGATGATGCTCACTCATCAGGAAAGAAAGGTGCGCATATGAGATGCTGCTGCTAACGAAGCCCATGCTATCCATCCAACAGTATAGCAAGTCTATTGACTGTGCAGGGACGGGGCTCCGGGCTCCGGGCTCGGGGGGGTGGAGTAGGATAAGCCGGCTGTCGCTGTTAATGCAAATTGTAATTTGCCTTGGGCACTGGGCCCTGTTACTGGAAAAAGCAGTTTCGAGCAACAACAACCAAAAAAAAAAAACAGTATAGCAAGTCTATCTGCGGATAGTAGCGTTACTGCAGAATAGTCCCGTCGCTAGAGAATAGTTCGGTGTTGCTCCAATATCGTCCGTACCGTATGGATGATGACGGCAACAACAAATGGATAGAATAAGCGTACAAATGGGAGGTGCTCAGACTCTCTTGGTGCTTGAAGTGTGTACCAATCGAGGAACAAGAGAGATAGAGAGAGAGAGAGATGGGGTGAAGGTTTCTCTTGGGGTTACTGAGGTACGGGATAGAGTATGAGAGAGGGAGAGAGCTGTGATTTGCTTGTCCCTCCCATTGTGAAAACATCTTTGTTCTGAAATCCTGCAGTTAAAAAACAGCACACTGCCCTCAAAGAAAGACAAAACAAGAAAAAGTACACTGCCATTCACGTGAATTGCGTGCTTGTTCGACTGACTAATTGGAACAACCGATTGATTGATTGATTGATATTCATATTGCTTGATTGATCGACTGATTAATGATTGATTGATTGATGATTGGTTGATTGATTGATTGATATTGATAGATTGATGATTGATTGATTGATCGTTATTTCGGTATTGATTAATTGATTGATTGATTGATTGATTGATTGACGCTTTACTACTTGGTGATTAGATGCTTGATTCAGTTACTCTGATTTGTTCAGCGAAATCAATTTATTATTGATGCTAATGAACCGCATTCGCCTCATTCATTCCCGGGCTCATTTTGCTTCCTTGACATAAATGCAAATTTCTTCTTAAATAAACAAAAAAGACATTCAAGTACTCGAAAGGTTGCAGAGTCCATGACCTCGACTGATTGATTGACCAAGCATTCACGGATTGATTAATCATTCTGATTGATTAACCAATCAGTAGATTCACCATATTCGTTGAAGATTCGTTGGCCCTCTATCTCGTTAGCTGCGGCAATTAGACACTCCACGACCTAACGAAATCTCTCCTACAGAGCAAATTGAGAGCAGAGAGCAAGAGAGTGGGAGGGAGGGAGGAAGGGAGGAAGGGAGGAAGGGAGGTGCGCAGGATTCTATATTCCTCGCAGGGGCCAAGAAAGACTACCGTTTTTTTTTCCCTTACTTCGAGCCTCGACTACTTGATGTGTCAATCAATCAGACGCCCGATTAGGAAAGTCGAGAGACGCGCCCGCAAAGGGCAACATCTCGACGAAGAGAAGGGTACTAGTTTCTTGAATGCATCCGACTGGAACTAGGGCCAGATTCAGTCGAGAGGTCGAGGAAATCAGTCCTAGTATGAGTATACTCTAATCACATACAATTAGGGCCAGGCCCCGATGATGCTCTGTTTGCGGCACTCAACTGGTCAGGGTTAGGGTCAGGTTCATGCTTTCAAGAAAGCACCAGTGGGGCCCGTAAATCTCTTTATACTGTATTATGCTAGCACTAACCTGGCCCAGAACTACGGTAAAAGGTTCATGCCTTCTCAGTACAAAAACACAGAGTAGAATGGGGCCTGCTGTGTTTGCTATCTTAGCACTAACCTGGTCAGCTTCACGGTCAGGTTCATGCTTTCTCAGAAAATAAAAAAGGCATAGGACCAGTGGGACCCGCTATGTTTGTGCTATACGGTAGCACGAACGTGACCGGTTTCATAAACCTAAAACATCATTGGGACCTGTCCTTTACCCAGAAAAGTAAGCCACGTCAGCACTTCAATTAGAACCCATTTTACTAAGGATTAAAAATTAAAAAAAAATAAAAGAACCCAGTCCCCTCTCCTCTACCGTGGGGGAGGGGCGGGAAGAGACACCCAAGCTTTTTTTTTTTTTTTGGAAAACCCAAGCTTCATATACAGAAGGGAGAATGGCATTTAAGAAAAGAGAGAGAGAGAGAGAGGACCAGAAGGAAAAGAACGGCAAAAGCAAGAGTGATACAGAGGGAAGAATGACATTAGGGGAAGAAAAGAAAAGAAAAGAAAAAAGGGTTAACTTCGGCGCGGTCACGAAAACAGTTTGTAATTGCACTTCAGGCAATCCCGCGAATACAACACACCCCCACGCGACCCCACCGGACCCGAAACGTAGGTCATATACATCCACCATCCATTACTGGCCCTTTTGACTCAAGTGAGGCAATTACAAACTCAAACCCTGACTGCGCCGTAGTTTTCTCAAAGAGAAGCAAAAACAGTTAAATAAATAAAATATTTAAAAAAAAAGAGGAGAGAGTGAAAAGACCGACCACCTACCCTGTCGCTAGGGAATACCCAGCCCTTCTTCAGAACAATTTTGGATGGTTTGGAAGGTTCGGCCGTCTCGAGCTGCTGCTCCTCCTCGAGGACATCTGCTCCCGAGGCGACCATAGCTGTCACCTTGGCTACCGCCATAGCCGAGCGTCTGATGGCGCTCCATGCCGACTGCTGCGCGTCGGAGGACAATGCCGCCACGTGGCACTCTCGCTGAAGCCCGTTGAAGCGTCTAATTTGCACGGATGATTTCGACCTGTCCGCTCTGCGGCAAGCAAAGCAAGTAGAGGAAGAAGAAGAAGAAACGGGATGAGAAAAGAACGATGGCGATGGCGAAGCCGGCGAAGAAAAAGAAGAAGAAGAAGGAGAAGACGAGGAAGAAGAAGATGAAGACGGCCTGCAAAGAGCTACAGAACAGCTCGCCGACGCTGCGAGCTCGCCCAGAGCGCGAGCGGCGCTCACTGAAGAATTCATCTCTCTCTCTCTCTCTCTCTCTCTCTCTCTCTCTCACACACACACACACACACACACACACACCTTTCCTGCTCCCTATCTGCTCCGAGCCCTGTGCAAGCTCAGCCCGCCGCAAGCCAACCCAACCAACCCAGTCGGCTTGGTGGTTGGCGCAGATATGGCGGTCGGTCGACAGCAGTCTCCAGAAAGTGCCGAACGCCGCCGTCCGCCCGTCACGCCCGTCCTCCCGGCGGTAGGCTTTGAGCCTCACCGCGCCAGTACCCGAACGCCGCCGTCCGCCCCCTCTACCGATAGCCTTTGGGCCTCGCCGCGCCAGTCGCCAAAGGCCAACATTCGAATGAATCTGAACATCCAACGCGGCGAGGCGCCAAAGGCCAACATTCGAATGAATCTGAACATCCCGTTGGTCTTCACGCATTGACAATGTCCGCATTTGGCGGGTGGTGCGACTTCTTCGCCGCTGTTTTTATTGTCCTATTTTTTGGAGGGAAAATTTGTGTCGCGCACAACTCTTGAGGGCACTCTCGTCTTCAATTCTAAGGGCCTTGTTCCACACCACTAGAGAACTCTTGAGTTTCAAGGGTGCCCTAATCACAAAATTGTGATTAATTTTCACTACAACGACTCTTAGTTCCATGTGCACTAGAGGCCACCCTTGAAACAAAAACACCCTGGGCCCCCGTTTCAGGGTCAGTTGGTCGTGCCGTGAAATACAGTCCTGCAGCCGCAGACGAAAAGATGTCCATCTTCAGGCGGGCCCGCTGACCCGAGGGACTGGATGTTCATCTTCAGGCGGGCCCACTAACCCCAGGAACCATTGCCGGTACCATCGTCCGATCGAAGCGACCATGCCGTTTTTCAAATTTTGAATTGTCAGCCAAGGTATCCTACTCAAGGTGGCGGTAAGAGGCACGCTATGAGAAAACGGGGAAAGGGCCCTATCCGTTGCTGAAGCCAAAGGCAGCGGCGTCTGTCACCCACCGTGCCCACTTCAGAGGTCCTTAGCATCGTGACAGAGAGTAGGGATTGGATTGCCTATCATGACCACACTTAAAAGTTAGTCTCAAAATGTATATCCGAGTATCAGAAAATGAGGAACTTAAATTAAAATTAACTTGTTTAAAGTTGATCCGACGATCTATGGTATGGGTAGAAATCGCCCTCACAGATTTTTCTATTGAATTTCAGTACGACAAAAAAAAGGCTCTAGGGATTTTGACAAACCCCTGCGGTCTTGCGACCAACGTAACGAATGATTTCCGACTCTAAAATCTTCACAGCAAAGTGGGGTATTTCAACAATTCAAATTTATCATGCCTGCTTTACATTTGTCATTTGTCTCATCCATTAATGTGAGTCCGTTTTATATCAGTTATGGTTTCCCATTGTCTTCAAGGATGATGAGCAGTTAAGGGAGTGTCCAACACACTGACATATAAAAAACTTTCACTTAGGGTCAATCACACTCGTGTCGGAGGGTATCAACATCAAACTGGTCAGCCCTCGACAATTATAAATTGCAAATTTGTGCTCATGTGCTTTTAGTGGAGTTCGAACTCGGGTCTGTATTTCAATTATGATAGTTCAATAGTCTACCCACTGAGCTAGGCTCTTGGTTTTTATGACTAGTCTCAATACCGGTATCACGGCCGTGTCCCGAAAATGGAACTTAGCTTAAACCACCACTTCCCCCAACGAGGAAAACCTCCTTTTACCCATAGCATCGTTTCGCGAGGGGTACCGGTAGCATAGAGTGAAAAATAGGGTGAATGGCAGAAATCAAATTTGCGCCAAAAAATTGGACACATATCGAATCGGCGCGACGATCATTTCCCAGTATCTGGCCTGTGTCCCGGAAATGAAACTTAGCGTAAATAAGAAAACAATAATAGTAATAAAAATAAAAATAAAGAAAAACTACATAAGAAGAGGGCGAGCGGGACCGCTGGCAACCGATCCTCGGTCTCACCAATCGGGCCCGCGAATGAGACCGAGAACAAAACTAAAGGTGATGGGCCCGCCGGACCCTCAATCCGTTGGTTCTCTTCAAAGTTGCTCCTTCACTGCTTCATTGCTGGTCACCGACCTCGATCGTGGAGTTTACCTCATGAAAGTATGACATTGTAACCAGCAGTGCTAGGCTCATGGTTGAACCTACTAGACACAAAATACCACATATATCGTACCTGCACCGAACCTAGGCTTGCAAAAATTTCCCAATATCGCACCTTGGCCTATCGGCCGAACTCAAAGTTGCCACACCACCCCTTCGTATCTATCACGTGGAAGGTACGATTCACGTACACTTCCTCCTTGCATACCATCTACCACTCAACAAACCACACTATCATCAATTTGTGTCTTTACAAAATAACCACCCTTTCAAGACCACGCCTTTACGACTCCATCTGATGACAACTCTGACCTTCGCTTGTGTCATCTCCCTCTAGTATGCACGCCCTGTCAAAAATCGTAGGGGCTTCCACCGCCAAACAAAAATTCAATAACTCCGTGTTATGCGGCTCAAGCGCCGCCTTTAGGTAAATTAATAAAAATCATATCAGATCATGGTTCTGATAGTTAATTTTAATGTTGCCCACGACAATGTCGGTTTATTTGCATGGACGCTCAGTGCTCGTGGCGATGCTAATCAAGTTTTTTATCCTTCTCTAGCTCGCACTGTTGCGCTAGGTTATAAACTACACTATCCATTTGTAAAGTCACCAGACGTTTGGTTAATGATCAACATGTACCCCAAAGTTTACGCTCACACACTCTCTGACTTAACCATACGCATACCCGTCGTTCTGGCTTCCGAGATCCGGTTGCGGGATGTGTAAAAATAATTGTGTGACTGCCTCAAACATCACTACAAATGTGGTTCATGCGAACTGCAAAAACAAGGTCAAATACTATTGTAAGATTATTTGGTCCGACAATAGGAACGAGGTATTTCAGACAGTATACCCAGGCTCTACGTAACCAGATATTACTAGTAATAGATTAATGAGTTATGAAGGAATTGAGACAAAAATAAGGAATTGTTTTATGACGTTGGAACGTGACGGGACATAGGGATCACGCTCACCTCACACCTGCTAAATACTTTCTGTATAATATAAGTTGCAAAGAGAAACTAATAAGAGCAAGGGATTAAGAATAATTTGAAGGAGGTACAACATAGGATGAAGCTACACCCCATCTCCGTGTAAATATGAGAAGAAGATAGGGCGAGATTATTAATGGAATACTAGGGAAATTTCTAATTTCATATGTCTTAAATTTGAACACATTGACTTAGGGTCCAGGGGATTACAGTCTTTGACAGGATGACACAAAAATCTTTCCAGAAGCTCACTCCCTAGCGAAATGGTTAATGTCTGAAGATGCTCCATCACTCCCAATTCGGATATGATTTTTAGATCTACAACGAGAGGAATGAAACACAAATTTAGCTTAGGGCTCAATGCACTAGGAGAACTTATTAACAAAATTAAGCAGCAATGACAAACTGGAACTCGACGCCCAACTCGAGAGAAACGAGTTGAAAAAAGCAGGACAAGAGAGAAAGGACCTGGTAGAGATAGACCACCGGTAAAATGTTATAGTAAACAATGAGATACACTCTCTCGACACCTATATTCTCTGTACAAATCGGTCTAAACCGAAGATCCTATCAATACACAAATGTCATATGATTTTATTTTAAGTTCGGTTCTATATAAAAAAATAAATAAAAGAAAATTGTAAAATAAAGATCGATTTCGTTATTGAATGTGTCCTATAATTTTATTGCTTACAGATGACTGTAGTGGAATACCTATCTTGATCTAACGCTCAGAGATACAAATGCACTGATTTTCATTATGTCAAATTTATATATTATAGATCAATATAGTCTCACACACCTGCACAAGGAAAGATTTATCTGATTCTCAATCAACAGGAAAAACTATAGAATTATTAGACGATAAATGGTCAAGTAGACTGACACTTCACACTAACAGACAAAAAAAATGTCAATGGCTTCTTAGATTCAATATCGTGAACCTAGATGACCCTGACTTAGTTAAATAGATGCAATAGTTTTGATCGTGCTGGGACGCAGTAGCAAACATTTTTTCCAACTTAATCAATACTTTCTCAATGATTTTACTTTTTAAAGGAAATAATAAAGAAAAATCGTTGAAAAGAAAGATCGAGTATGTTAAGTTTCACATGTTGAAGTGTCAAAATTCTAATAAAGTTTAAGAAAAGGAAAGAGTGAGGTTGCTAACCGAATGAGATTATCTTCATACAAAAAATTTAGAGTTTTATCTGCAGGTCAAGGGTATAACAGTGTATGACAGAGTGACAAAGAATGCCTGTCAGAAGTTTTTGTCTATAAAGTCATTGATCCCGATGAATGAATTGTCTCACTTATTGTTGCAAGCTCGACTTCAATAATAGAATATTAATTAATAAAAAATTACAACAATGTGTTAACATGAGGAAATTTGTTACAAAGCATGTGCAAATGAGTAATCTTAATTCTTTTGGAAAAGGGAGACCAAAATAAAATATGGAATTGCATACCAATCTCGGTCCTCAACGTGTCATACAAACTGCTAGCTAAAGTTATAGACAAACGACTTATAAGGTACCTCCCAAATCTAGTTCAAGATGATAAGGCCACCGTCATACGCGGCTGTTTTAGTTTTAATAATATAGTGATAACTATTGAATCAATCGAGGTAGTCCAAAATGATAATTTTTATGTTAATGTATTTGTTCTCTTCTTAGATTTAAAATCGGTTGAGATATTCATCATGTAACAATTCATAATATTAGTGATGTTAGCGAATTCTGATAAATATTATTGAAATCTGAATGTCCACCTTGGTACAATTGTCCTCCTTGGTATTGTAGTCCTCCTTAGTGTTATACAACATTAAAAAATTATATAATTACATAATCATTGCATAATAAAAATAAATTTTAAACGTTAAATTTTCATTTCATCTTTAAAAATGTCATTTCACTTTTAAAAATTTTCGTCATACTTTTAAAAAATTATTTTAAGAATAGAGTAATCCTTCTTGTTTGAATTGCATGCTATAGATGAAATGGAAGTTTGAATGAGTTCATGAAAAATTTTAATGAGACTGTCATTTTAGCATAAGGAGTTTCAATCGTAAATAGGTTAATCCAATCTTAATTAAAATATGTTTATCGTAG